TGTGCGTCAGGGAGCGTCATCAGTGGAGCACGAGATGCGGTGATGATGATGTAAGTGACGTTGTAGTTTAAATGTTTTGTTAGTCTAGCCCACGAGACGCGCCGCTGCTGCATTATTCATTCAAAATATTAGAGAAATATAGTAGCTCAATGCGGAGAAGATCTTGATTAGGTTAAAACTGAAACCAAATAATTCACACAGAACGCATATTCAGCGCATTTTTTAGATGGACAATTATGACTGCTGCACTCGCGTCACACAAGAGATGTACAGAAAGCCATGCAAAGTTAAAACAGTTTAAACTTTTAGAAAACACGTCGCGAATTTGTGGAGGTTTATTCCTTTTCACTGCGTCTTATATGTTTTTAAATGCAATCTGCGTGATGGCCGATTCGGCTCTTTGGATTAAGCAATGCATAAACACGTGATGCTGTTTTGTTCATAATTTGTTTATGCAATTACGAAATTATATTTGATTTATATGAGTTAATTTAGACGTAATGCACGTTTTTTTATAGACCGTTATTTCCATGCGTGGACAGTTTAATGTGCTGCATTATTTTGCTCATCGTGCGCCCTCCTGTGGTCTCGGGAAACAAGCCAAAAGTTTAACCTATTTAATCTGCATATAAAACATTAGAAATTAGATATTTGTTTAATTTTTATTTTGTGTTTGACTGTTAAAACAAAAAAATATTTGTTGTTTGTCTCAATAAATTGAGTTCATTTAAAAATACATTGGTTAAATGTAAAAAAAAAAATTATATTGTTCTTTGTTTTAAAAAAGGTTATAAAATTGTCAATAATTATCAATACCGAACGATATGAAACATTATATCGTTGATACATTATTTTAGCTATATCGCCCAGCCCTAGTCATGACACATTTATAGATGAAAAATAAAAGGTTACCATGTAATTTTATTGAAAAATGTTTTTTGGAAGGATGGGAATGAGAACCCAATTGCTCAGGTCCTTGAAAGTTACAGCCGTGATCAATTGTGAAAACGAACGTATGAAATAAAAGAAACATCACAACAAGATGTGCAATCAAGAAAAAATATTTGACAAAATTAACGATGAAGGATGTTTGACAGCAACCTGAGCGCATCTCCGCTGCTTAGCCACATATACAATATCTTGAATTCTAAGATTACAATCGTTAGAAAACGCACACTAAACGACTTTTTCTGCTGACTGCAATCAGCGACTGATCCCAACTGAAATGAATGGTCATGAACAGCAGCAGAGTTTATCCAATTCAATTAAGTTGCTAGCCAGTGCCAGCATTTTTTATGATATTCACAAAGCCTTCACGGCCCCCATATATATATATTTATATTCAACGCTTAAGCCAGTTTTGATTTATATGTTGCTTTAATGTTTGATGATTCAGCTTACATGTGCATAAACAATGCTTCTGTCAGTTGTTTATGCTTCTTCCTTGCTTGATTTTGGATATGGAGATTATATACTCTTTTAGAAGATACGTAACAACACCCCATACTAGAGGTCGATTGATTGATCGGTTTTGCCAATTAATCGGCTCTGATAGTCAATTGCTGTAACTATTAGTTATTGGAAAAAATTTTTACCAATAGTTTTTTCCGGGTTGCATCCATTGCTGGAGTGGCTAAGAAGGTCAGCTGTCATTATACAGTACGGAAGCATCCTCTGGAGGCAAATCACTGACGTCTCGTCCTGTTTGTTTTGATACGTGAGGCTGTGCACTGCACAGAGGACGACTCTTCAGATGTTGATTTAAATAATCTCCAGCGATTAAAATAATATGACCAAAAGCCAAAGTCACATTTGTTGCCATCTGTTTGCATAGTTGTCCAGCTGGTCACATTATTGCATTTGTAGTGCAGTGAAGTTGCATATTTAAAGAGAGTGATGTGTTCATGCAGCCAACAGAAATCCTGCTGCACCACAGAGCACTGTTTATGTCACGAATTCGGTCCATGGACTTCCGTTTATTCACCACCAGAGGTCACCCTTTCCTTTACATTGACTCTCGCACAACACAAACTGTTGCATAGCACCCCGGACTACATATCCCATCATTCTTTGCACGATTTGCACACTGCACTGATTGCACTCATTGCACACAGCTGTTTCTTATCACCTCACTCACTATATAACACCCACTCAAACCACCATTCTCTGCTGAGTATTGTTTAGCCTGTACCCCTTTCCGAGTCTCCGTATTTTCCTTGTTTTGCCTTGCCTGTTTTTGCGGTTTCTGATCTTTGCCTGTTTTCCTGGATTTTTCCCTCTCGTCTCGCCCCTGTGATTCTGTCTGCCGATCGGTGACCTACGCTAGCCCTAGGACTATTCTTGTGTTTTTGCCGCCATATACCTGTTTGCCAGTGTTTGACCCTGCCTGTTATACCACGTCTCTTTAATAAAAGCTTGCAGATGGATCCACACGTCTCACGTCTCATCAGCCCCATTACAGTTTACATATTAACAACATTTGGGATAGATATAGTGGTAATTGATTCTTGAAATGAATTTCTGCCTGTTTGGTGATTAAATAAACTCTTTTGGACCGCCACTTGAATGTGATCTGGTATGCAGTACCAGATTTGTAGATGCAACGTGACACGGTGCCGCACTTTTTGTCCGGTGTGTGATTGCCATATTTTGTTATTTTGATTAAATAATCATCAAGTGTTGTAAAATAGAAGCAAATGAAGGGTCAGAGTATAAATACGTTTAGATTTATATGAAATGGTAACACTACAATAAGAGTCTATAGGCCAATTTTACTAAACATCTTGCGCCAGCACAAACCGTCTTTTGGCATTAAAATTGTACTGTTAGGTTTTACTAAACGCGCAGTGAAGAATTAGCGCTGAAAAGGCGTGGACACAGTTATTTTTGCGCCTGACCTTATTGAATATGCATTTGTAGAAGTTTCCCTTTCAGACGCGAAATTTATGGGAGGAGAGTATTCAAATCAATGCGATATACCAACGTTTGCGCTCGTCAAATTACTTCATTTAACTTCATTACTATCATTTAACGGCAACAAAAAATCATGTCTTAAACTATTTTGCGCTTGAAATGGCTGCAATTGTTGTTGCTAGGAGGTGGCACCGCAGAGAACAGAGAGCATGTGGTAGAAGGGAGAGGATTTTTTTCCACACATATTAATTTATTTGAAGAACACATTATCCGAACATATCATTTGCCAAGACATTTTATTTTTAATTTGCTTCAGGAAATAAAAGACGACTTGGAACCCTCAACTAGGAGTCACGCAATACCAGATCTATCAAAACTTCTAGCAAACCTTAATTTTTTGTCCTCCGGTTCTTTTCAACATACTGTGGCTTCTTTATTTCTTTATTTGAGACTACGCAAATTTGCGCTGCGCTTGGTATATTGCGTTGGTCGATATGTAAATGAGATGTTACGTCTTGTGTTCTTTAATTTGCGCATCGTTAGTAAATCACCCACAGAAATTTGTAATTGCGCTCTCACGCTAATTTGCCCTGTTTAGTAAAACTGGCCCTAAATGTAAATTAAATACAAATTTCTGTCATGAAACTCTAGATAGCAAACTCCGATTTAAGGTTCCAACTCCATCTGACATAATGGCATCATCACATGGCGCAGCTGATTGGTTCTCTCCTGTATCGGTAGCCAATGAGCTTGCTGCTCAACATTCAAATACTTGGCTAGTGTTTGCTGTAGCAGTTGCAGTGTGCTTCAGAAAGCATCTGAAATCAGGATCTAAGATAAGTGAACGCTCTTTAGCTACATATCACTGCATATTGCATAGTCTGCCTTAGTGTTGCAAAAGACCCGGTACTTCGGTACCAAGTCGGTACTAAAAAAATGTAACTGTAACGGTACCAGGTTTTTTTAAGTACCGCTGGTACCGAGTACCCAGACAACCCGGTTCTTGATGCGCTATCCGAAAGGTGCGCAGATGCGCTCTCTTCATAAAAGCACTGAGACGTGGCGACATCAAAAGGAGGAAACACACCAAACTAACAAAACATTTTAAAGACACTCAGATCAAATGAAAGAGTTATTAATTTTCAAATAAATTTTTAATATTTAGATCAGTGTTTCACATACACTGATTTATTTGTGGCTGCCCGTCACAATATCAAAACTGACCGCCACAAATAGATTTTCCAAAAAAAAGGCTTTGACTTCGTTGAATAAACATGAGCACTGCACGTGTCAAAGTCGAAACCCGGTGCGGGTGTTTTTATATCACTGTATTTCTGAAGGAAACCGACTGTCTTCAGAAAATTGTGGATGTCATTTTCATTTCATCTTGCCTGTAATGCGCTTATTTGATTACAGCCGTTACCGGGGAAACCTCTATCTCTGCCGCTCTACAAGCGCCTCCTGCTGGCAGAGAATGAATTTGCATATATATGCCGCGACAAATAGAGTGCAAGTCTGTGGGAAACACCGCTTCTGTTATGAATATTATTCAATATTTTAATTTGAATGTCGGATTGAAATGAACATCGCTGTTATTAGAGTAGCTAATCGTTAGCATAAGCGCGGCTAACGCTAATATAATGGGCATTGGAATGAAGTTTCTTTATTAACTATTTAATGCTCCCATAACTTTTATTAGGGTAAAAAAAAACAGGAGGACATGATGACATTTACTATTTTTACACACCAGAGGCTTTTAAATGAATTGTGAATCTAAAATATGCGTGTTGGGGATAATAAGCAGTTCTGGGCTTTTTTATTTTTTAGCTAACTTAGTTGTTATTCTTGGCTGAATAACTCTAGGTTTTCAAAAGCCCTTTAAAATAAAATATGTACACAGTTTGGATTAAATGAAAGTATAGTCACATTTTTAAATTAGCATGTTTTTGTGTTTTGCTTTGGTACCGAAATTGGCACCGAGAAGCGTGGATTTTCACTTGTATTGGTACCGAATACTGAAATGTTGGTACCGTGACAACACCTAGTCTACCTTATTAATTGCTAAATGAGCAACAATAGACAAGTTTTAAACAAAGTGTCATGTTTAGCAGTCTTGCATTCATATGTAGGAGCAAAATACTGAGCATACAACCAGCAAAATGTACACATCTGTGTTTATACAGCTGCAGCAACAAGCAGTCTATTGTATGTGTTTGCCGTGAGGACACGCTGAGAGGTTACAGACATTAGAAACAGGTTTAAATGAAATAAACATTCACGTTTACACTTCAACCGGAGTTCACCATAATTAGCTGCGTTCAATGTCACGTTCTTTTATTTATAAGGTCGATGTTTTCATTAGCAGTGATGAGTTTGTGGTTGATTTCAACTGCACGCAGCATCAGAGGCACGCTCTTTCATTTTACATTTAGTCATTTAGCAGACGCTTTTATCCAAAGCGACTTACATGACGACAATTGAAGCAATCAAAATCAACGAGAGCAATGATATACAAGTGCTATAACAAGTCTCAGTTAGCTTAACACAGTACATGTAGCAAGGTGTTGTTGTTTTTTTTATAATAAATATCTTTCATCATCTTAATGGCTTTAATTACAAATAAGAGTACAGTATGACAGTTATCAAATGACTTTGAATTATAATATTTTGCTTCAGGTGGTTGCTGGAATTTCTTATCTCATCAGATAAGATTCTTATCACATCAGCTTGCAATGTATCTACTTGTTAACTACACATAGTGTGCATTCTAACTAGCCCAGGCACACATAGCCTTAGGCCACTATTGTTAATCTGGACAGCATGGTAGCACAGGCACACATAGATAGGACAGGATAGAACATCTGTTACAGTTTTCATTCCTTCTGCTCTTTTGCTTTCGACTATCTACATCTACAAATAAAATGTTAAAGGGGGCATAACACACAGTTCCACAATCTCATGTTAATTTTGAGTACCTATAGGGTAGAGCCCGACTGATATGGGTTTTTTGGGGCCGATACCGATATTAGGGAATAACAAAAAGGCCGATACCGATATATCGGCCAATATTCTTTCTTAGTACAGTACCAGTCAAAAGTTTGGACACTTTCCCATTCGTGTGTCCAAAGATTTGACTGGTACTATATATAGAATACAGTATATACATAAACAGAATATATATATACATAAACACATTTTTTGCAATGATCACTCAAATGTGGTGATCAAACACGTCATAATGGTGACAGAGATATGTAATGGAGGCAGGGCATTTAACAATTTAACAATAAACTTTAATATCCAAAATGAGTCTGACATCAGTGCACTGAACAGTAAAGTTGAGGTTTATTCAACTTTAATTCAATTCAATTCCATTCAACTTTATTCCGTTGAAGTTTATTTCACTTCGGAACATTCATTCACGCATTTGCGCCACTGTCTTCACACACACAGACGAAACTTACTAGAGAAGTGTGACATAATATAGGGGAGTGCGATGTACAAAGTAACGGCGGTGGGGGGGGGTAGTTGTAACACACGTGGTTTGAATATTTATTTTATCATAGTAAAATTGTAATTCTGGTTTGGTTAATTTTTTATCTCAGTTTTTACTATTCATTTAAAATGAGACAAATCTGCTATTATTTTAATCTCCAATCTG